CAGATGACAGTGATCGGTTTAAGGATGGGTACAGAATCCAAGTCAATCCAGATCCTGACTTGTACCAAAATAATGAGGATCTGAGCTTTCCTTAACTTAGGAGACAATAATATTTTATGACTTTGAGATCTGGCAGCTTTTGGCAGCTTCCTTTCTGATACAAGAGTGTTCCAGGAAAGCAGAACTGAGATCTTGGAAAAAGCAGACCAGCAGCCTCTGATCTACATCTAGCTAGCACCAAAACAAGGGTTATTCATGTTACATGGTTAATGCAGTTCATTCTAAATTAGGCAGATCACATATATAATATGTTTGACATCATAGTGCATGTTATTGTATTGGCTTCAATAAAGGAAACATTCATATTATTTTATTACTAGGTTTACATTACATTGTACATACGCCAGTATAAAATTAAACACAATAAAATATATATTAAGACAGTAATATATATATACATATATATATATATTACTCTAAATTTAATATGTTTTCATAATTAAAATAGGTAGTACTTTATTATTGTTGAACAATGTATCTATTATAAGGATTTTTAAAATTCAACCTTGGAATAGATAATTATAGCAATGAATTTATATTAAACTATATATAAAATTTTATTTTTAAAAGCAAAAGCCTCTTTTCTAGTTTTTCATTCACCTTTTCACCACTGTTCTTATTGTTTATGAACTAGTACTCTGAATAATAGATTTCATACTTCTATTGCTATTTTTCCATTAATACTATATATTAATATAAGCTAATTACATATTTATCATGTTAATTTGAGAATATTATATATTTATGTTAATATATATAAAATCATCTATTTACTAAAGAATTTTAAGCAATATAGTTCTTATGCACATAATTTATTTTAAATATATTGAACCTAATTTTCACCTGACACAGAGCAACTTGATAAACTGTATCAAGACTTTAGTATCTCCTGGCATATATTCTGAAAATTCAATATTCACAGAAAATCATATTTCTGGTGTTCTTCTTGTAACACATGATTAATATTATCTCATATGTAGTATGTATAACTATGTTTACAGTAATGAGAAAGTTTTGGTACTTCATTTTCCATCATGCAAACTATATTAGTAAGAAAACTAATAATTTAATTTTAAGTTACTTAAATATAAGAATTAAGTATGATAGCTCAATTATGTAATCAAATAGCATGTACCAGGCTTTTGAAGTATTCATTTTCTTCTGAAGATTTACCTGATTTTTAAAAATAATCTATGCATCAGAAGTTAGATTACTGTATTAAAATGGTCCTTTGTTTGTATGTATCTTGTTACAAACAAATTTTAAAGTTCTATCAATGTCATATAGGGGGAATTAGTAAAAATAGTGTTGGCATTTTAAAATTATAAAGTTCTAAATTAATTTCAAGAATTAATATAAAAGTCTGAGCTATAAACACTATGTATATTAAGAGGGAATATGCTACTAAAATGGATTTTTAATTTTTGCTTCTCAAGCTATATAGACATACCTTATTAATTTTATCAATGTCTCATGAAGAGAAAATACTTAAGAATAGTATAAGTAATTTTGAAATATTGCTTAAAAGCAGTGAGTTATTTTCCAAAACTATTGACTATTACCTTATATTTAATCTGTACAATGAAAACTACAATGCAAAAAATATTAGTATTTTATTTTTCCAAAATGAACTATTTTTTCCAAAAAATAATGATTATTTTATTTAAGTGAAAAAATTTTTATGTTAAAACAGTTATTAAATTTTAAATGATATTAGTGATATATATGTTCTATTTGATTTATAAAGAACTTCAATTAGCAAACATATGCCAACTCTTAAGATACAAGAATATATCATAAGATCTGGCATGTATATTTACAGTACAAATATTGCATAACGTATAAGACCAGGCATGTGAACAAGCTTTTTCCATCTACTAAAAATCTACCTGGTTTGAAAAATAACCATTTATATGATGTGAAAATATTGTTACAAAACAGCTGTTTAATCATTTACATGTAGCACTTTACAAACATTAAAGTTCTATCAGTTTCATATGAAGGCAAGTATAAAGAAATAAATGCAAAATTGAAATAATATTTAAAAGTACAAAACTAATTTCCAAACTAATATCCCTAAAATCTGCAACAATAGATCAAATAATTTGTATTGTATAATTGGATTTATAGTAAATGCTATATTTTATTCTAATTTTACACTAATATTTATTTTTTATATCATATGAACTTTGTTTAATGATTGATTGTATGTATAAAAGTAAACTGTAGCTTTCTTCAGACACACCAGAAGAGGGCGTCAGATCCCATTACTGAGGGTTGCAAGCTGCCATGTGATTGCTGGGAATTAAATTCAGAACCTCTACAAGAACAGTCAGTGCTCTTAATTGCTGTGCCATCTCTCTAGCCATTATATAAGCTTTTGATTAACACATTTAATGGCCATATCACATTGTCCTTTAAATATTCAAACGAGTTCAACTAAATATATTCATATAAATGCTCAAAATCCCTTATTAGTTTTAATTACAGGCTATTGTTTTTTTAAATTAGGATCAAGGTACAATAACAGTATTATTTCATCATTAGGTCATTATTTCTAATTATTGTACTATACTAATGGTTATAGCATAAAGCTGTACATAATATACCATGTAATAAAAACAATATACTATGTTATATAAAAAGCATTACTGCAAAGGGCAAATATTTTCATAACTTAAATGGATATCACTTCATTATTATTTAGCAAGTGTTCTACCTTTTAATTTTTTCAACTAATTCAACATTAGTTTCAGATTAACAATTTACACAGGCAAGTTCTGATATTGTGCTTATGAATGATGGATTCCTTTAACGATATTACACCTATGTGCCTTTAAAGGATGTGATGACTTTTGTTTGCCTTGATGTTTTTATACTTGTTTCTACCACTAATCAAATTAATCACCATTTTATTTAAACAAATGCCTCCTTGTTTGTGCACTGCCACAATGATAAATGTTAAACCCATGGCCTTCATCATGGAATAGAGTTTCCAGTTTACGAAACTTATGTTACAGAAATAAAAAGGATCTATAGCACCATGTGGATGTGCCTGTGCACAGCACTGACCACACAGGATGACAGGCACAATCAAAATAGCCGTTTAGTTTCACTAATAATTTTTGGCAATGCTGTAAAGAAATGGAACTCAGATCTTGCACATACCAATTAAAAACATCACCAGAATGTCACATCAGAAGAAAATAAATGGGAATACATACTGATATCTATTTAAATATTACAAAATGACCCTCATTTTCTTTTGGTAGCACAGCACTATAGATGCAACCAAGCACTCTGTGCACTCTTGAAAATCTTTAACGACATTTGCCTTGGTCATGCTTGCAATCACCTCATCACTTAATCCTTCTGTCCTAATATTTTAAAATATCCTATTAGTTATTTGTGAATATCAGTGTGGTGTGTCCTAAATGAAAATGACCATTGGAGATACATTACCATCCCAGGGCTACTTGGAAAATGGCCACCACCTTCTTAGACTCTAGGAAGACAAACCATTAGTGACCTTGTTGGGTATTTTCAATGCTGGAAGAAAAACTTAAGTAGTCAGGAACAGTCTGTAATATGACAAAAGGAGTAATAAAATGGTTTTTAGGAACTCAGAACAACCTGAGAAGGTGTTGCCTTTTAAATCTACCACAAGTTTTGATTTGCCTTGGGAATAATATTCTGTAGAAATGAGAACTCCCGAAATGTCAAATGAGATGTGCACATACATGAAGTTTAATAGCCAACAGCACACCTTTTTCATGATGCTTTTCAGTCACAGTGGATGGAATTTAAAAGAATAAATTTACAAAGCATCTTAACAGCTGTATCCTGTCATTTACAAGAAAGTTGTTAGTTCAGGATACAGACAGTGCCTCACATTAACTCCCCTTGATAGCATTGTTAAAAAAGATGCTGATGTATATTTAAATAGCTACAGATAAAAGTAACAAAACATAAACTATAAATATATTATAATTCCAATGAACATATAAGGAGGCATCACATGGTAATAATCAAATGATGTGAAAAGTAAAAAACAATGTAGTAAAATCTTAAAAGCAATATTAATATGTAATTCACATGTAAGCCTCCCAGTTGATGAGTCTATTAATCATGAAAAGCTTAAAATTAACAAATACATTAATTTGTTAAAAAATTATAATTTATGAAGATTAAAATTGTATTGTATTCCATATTTTAAAGTTAGCTATGAGTTCATCAAAAACATTTTCTTGGCCTTTGAGCTGGGAAACTTCTCCTTCTTTTATTTAGATTATTCTTAGCCTTGGTGTTTTCATAATATCCCAGATTTCTTCGATGATTTCTGTCAGGAATTTTTTAGATGTACTTTTCCCTGCTTCTCCCAGCTTTTCATTGACATATAGTTTAAAGGGTAGCCTTAGCCAAAACATTGGTAATTAAATTCCCCTTTGCTTAAGTGCCTAAGCACCATACTTCTGATGAGTGAAGATACTGCTGAGTAAAAAACTAAGTTATAGAAAGCATATATAGTATTTTCTAGGGTTCTGTATTGATGGTAGGAAGGCAGGTCCCTTTAACAGTATCGGTTACGTAAGCACATTCTTTTTAGGAAGAATCTTGGGTCAATCACAAGATTCTGCCATAACCAAGGCAGGCTCAGAGACTCAAGTGCTCCTGCGAGAGGTTTGTTTGTGATAGTTCAGAAAGGGAGGATTAAGAAGTATCAGGGCTTTTTCTCCCAGTTCTCTTAATGAGATAGAGCCCTCTCTTAGCCTCTGTCATTCATTTAACCCCCTGTAATCTGCTGTCTTGTGATTTTTCAGAATTGTGACTGTAGCAACGTTTCTGGCAAAGGTAGCAAGGGATAGCAACTTCTGGCCAGAATACAAAAAACCAAGGTCTGCACAAGGACGTGGACTAGCGAGGCAACGCCAGATATCAACATGGACTATAGACTTCATAGTGTAAAAGTCTATGTCATGGTGGAAGACAAGCGGTGGAAAGACATAGGTGCAGGACAAATTTCATTCAAATACATCGAACGGCTCCAGGGTGTGTGCCTTCTTGTTCACTCAGAATCAGATGGCTTGCCAATTATGGAGTGTAAGATACATCCTAACGTGCCCTATCAGAAACATCAAGAGGAGGTAATCATTTGGTCTGAAGCTAAGAACCACGGTATGGCAATACATTTCCAGGAACCAAATGATTGTCAAGAGATCTGGGAAGTTATCTGCCAAGTTCAAGATAAAGATCCAACTGTAGAAATCACACAAGAACTTAGTGATGATCTAGAAAATTTTGAAAATGTGCCTTTAAGCTGGAATCAGGATGAGATGTCAAGCTGTGAAATCAACACACTTGAAAACATTGCAGAGCTATTTCCTTTTGTCTTTGAAATGCCAAGGCAGAAGGAAAAGCTGGCGCTGGTCTTAGAAAATGAAGGTTACATTAAAAAATTGCTACAGCTGTTCAACACTTGTGAAAAACTGAAGAACATGGAAGGCTTATACTATTTGCATAATATTGTTAAAGGAATCCTGTTTCTAAATGATGCACGTTTGTTTACCATCATGTTTTCCGATGAATTTTTCATGGATGTAGTAGGATGCCTTGAATATGACCCTGCTTTGGATAAGCCAAAGCGGTACAGGGAATTCTTGATTCAAAATGCAAAATTCAAGGAAGTTATGCCAACAATACACTCCCGACTTCGGCAAAAAATACAACAGACCTACAGAATGCAATATGTTCATGATATTATGTTGCCTACACCATCCATATTTCAAGCAAATCTTCTTTCTGATATTACCACTATGATTTTTTTCAACAAAATTGAAATAATTACCATGCTTCAGGAAGATGAAAATTTTTTGCTCGAAGTTTTTGCTCAGTTAAAAGATAACACTGTAGGTGATGAGAGACGGCATGAATTATTGTTATTCTTTAAAGAATTCTGTGCATTTGCTAAGATTTTACACTGTCAAAAGAAAAATGCATTACTGAAAACATTAATAAAACTAGGAATCATGAGTGCTCTTAAAGTTGTAGTGCACATGCATGATTACCAAATACAAGTAGCTGCTCTAGAACTATTTGCTTATCTAGTAGAATATAGTCCATGCCTAGTCAGAGCATATGCAATGGAAGAAGCTCAGGACAGTGAAGATAACGATGACCTTATCCTTAATATAATGATCAAACAAATGATCTATGATTCTGATCCTGAGTTTTCACGTGGCATCATTTTGACAACAGTTTTCCATGTTCTTCTTGATCCAGAAAATATGCACGACACAGCAAAGGGATGTGAAAGAAAGAGATTTCTGAATTTCTTCTATAAACGGTGCATGAGGAACCTTATAGCACCAATATTGTCTACCACAGTGCAAAATGACAGTAATTATGATAGGGCTAACATCCACCCTGATAATTATCAAAATGCACAATTACTTGGAGCAGTTTTAGAAATACTCACATTTTGTGTGCAATACCACTCAATGTACATAAAACATTATATTTTGAGCAAGAACTTGCTCAGCAGTATCTTGGTACTGATGAGTTCCAAGCATATATTTTTGATTTTGTGTGCTGTCCGTTTTATGAGAAAGATGATTGGCCTTAAAGACAAAATTTACAGTCTTTACATAATTAAGGAAAATCTTTTTGAACCAGTTGTAAATGCTTTTATGCATAATGGACATCGTTACAATATGTTAAATTCAGCTATTATTGAGCTATTTGAATTTATAAGAAAAGAAAACATCAAGTCTCTCATTGTAAACATTGTGGAAAATTTTTTTATAGCTTTTGAATCAATTGAGTATGTCCAGACCTTTAAAGGTTTGAAAACTAAATATGAAGAAGAGAAGAGAAAAAGTCAAATAAAAAGGAATTTACATAATATAATATATCCAAAAATATATTACAGTCGTATCAATGTTATGGAGGCCAAAGTCCAGGCAGACATATGTTGTAGAGGAATCACAGAAGGAGGAAGAGGAGGACGAGGAGTGGGAGGAGGAGGAGGAACAGGAGGAGAAGAAGAAGAGGAGGAGGATGAGGAGGATGAGGAGGAGGAGGAGGAAGAAGAAGAGGAGCACGAGGAGGACGAGGAGGATGAGGAGGACAAGGACGAGGGGGATGGAGAAGGAGAAGGAGGAGGAGAAGGAGAAGAAGGAGAAGGAGGAGAAGGAGGAGGAGAAGGAGCAGCAGCAGAAGAAGAGCAAGAAGGAGGAGGAGGAAGAGGAGGAGGAGGAAGAGAAGTTACTCAACCAAGGAGAAGTGACTTTCCAAGTCATTACGATATATTTATGAAAAATAAAGACACAAATGTAAGTGAAAATAAAATAGAACGACCCAAAAGAAAATCATCTGAAGCCTTTGAATGTTCTCCATCTCTTGGTGATACTTCTGTTAAAAGAATGGGTAGGTCACACTGTAGCAGTCTTGTTCCTTTAGTGGATTACCCATATGATACTGATGGTGAGAGTGATGATGATCCTTACAGTAATAATAAAGGGGAAGAGGAAGATGATGAACCCCCGATAAAAATACCTAATCTTAGTACATGAAATCCTATGAGGCCCTCAACTACAAGTTCAACTAAAATTCTATAAATATCACAAACTGAAAAATAGAATTTAAAATATCTTTCTCGTATGAACTTTTAGATACATATACTGGGCAAAGGTAATGAATAAGAGGCTTCAATTTTATATACAGAAAACTTCCCATAATATAGACAAATAGTTTTAAATAAACAGTAACTAAGTGACAACTTTTAATCAAGAACATCTTACTTCAGCAGCATGGTTTGGGAGGAAGAAATTGTTTGAAGTAATACAATTTCTACTAAAGTCTTTATATTAGAAGTAACTCCAAAGGTTTTATTGAAAAGCCTACCTTCAAAAGAAGGTCTATCAATGGCATTCTTTCCATAAATTGAAGTTTGTTTAAAGTATATTTTGTTTGTATGTAAAACAAAGTCATATTAAAATAAAAATAAAGTGAGACTTCTCAGCATTTCTATGGCGATTTATCAAAATTCAGAATTATTAATAATAATATGGAAACAGCATTCAGTACAATTCAGTACTTATTTCCATAAATAAAATGCTAAGCTTGATCTTTAGTGAGCTGTTATTAATGTACTTATATTTAGATAAGAAATATCAGGTATCAGTTTCAACATACTCCTATTTGTAATGTGATTCCAGTAGGATATTCAAGGGATAAATCAGGATACATCAAATATACAGTTAATGAAAGTTAATGAAGCTTTGTCTTTTGTCTTAGAGTGGTAGGTACATACTAGGACACACACACACAAACACACACGCACAAATAATCACATTGATACATATTCACATACACACATACATTTTGAACTGCTGAAACAAACTAACAGAAAGATTTTAACAAAGGAAAATTTGACTCTGTCTTACAGTTTGGGGGGATATATTCCATTCTGTTCAGTTCTTGGAGGAATCTGAAGCATCCTGTCACATTACACCCACAATCAACAAGCAACTAGATACTTTCTGATGCTCAATTCATTTTCTTTTTATTTATTGTAGGACATCAGCCAGTGGAACAATGTCACACATATTCAAGATGAGTCTTCCAATCTCAGCTATCCCAGTCTATAAAGTGCCTCATAAATATTCCAAGAAGTTTGTCTCCTAAGTGTAGATTTTTTAAATTATTAACTATCACTATGTATCCTGTTTCCTACATAACACTAAAACATATAACTATTTAGGCATAATCTTCCATAATCTCATACAGAACTACAAAATGTATTTAGTCTAACTCTAAAACACCATAGAATTTAACAGTTTCAACATTGCTCAAAAGTGTAAGGACAGATTATTTTCTGAGACTCAGATTCTTAACTGTAAGGTCTCACACCCAAAAATAGAACATATTTATAAGTTTTTGGTGGTGATAAACTCAGGACAAAAATCAATATATGGAGGCCAGAGAGGTGGTTCAGCAGATAGGAAAACTTCCGTAATGCTGAATTTGATTCCTAGCATCTACCTGATAGTTAAGAAACATGTGTAAGTGCAGTTCCCTGAGGCAGTGCTGCCATCCTTTGGACTGCACTTACAATCATATATGTGGTACACAGACATACATACACGTGAAACAACCATGTATATCTATCTATCTATCTATCTATCTATCTATCTATCTATCTATCTGCTAGTAAATTTACAGTTACTTTTGGCTTATGGCTCTAAAAGGAAGAGCCCTGAAATGGTGGTGGAATCATGGCAGCAGATGGTCAAGCAGAAAAGTGGTAATCATATTTTATCCATATACAGGAAGGAGAGAGGACAGATGTGGTGAGGAGGAAGGGAGGGAGGGAGGGAGGGAGGGAGGGAGGGAGGGAGGGAGGGA